GGGCCCCAAATGCATTCATACTTTTTCGTATCAAATATTTGGAGAGTCTTCAACAGGTTGGCGTTAATTGGCCAATGCCTATCGTAAGCCGCATGGCTTCTGCAGCATGGAAACGTCAGCCAGAACATATAAAGACAAAATATGAAAATTTATCATTCGATGCGAGTCTTCATTGGGCCAAATGGAATCCAAAACCGAATCAAAGATCCAATGTTAAAAAATCAAGCGCTCAAAGACGAAGAGCTATTATTAGTCAATCGAACACAAGCGTAACTAAAAAACTCTTCAATCCCATGTCTATATCCTCGATTATTTCAGTAAGATAAATTAATTTTTATAATGAAATATAAAATTTTATAAATTTCAATTATTAATTTTTTTCTTTTATTAGCCGCCAGATTATGAGATCACCGAATCCTTAATTCTTTAAAAACATGAATTTATAATAACAATCACAAGCACTTAAATCTTTAGTGGATTTATAATAACAATCACAAGCAAGCCCTTAAATCTTTATAATAACAATCACATGCAGATACGAAGGCGAATTGAATTTTTTGCACCATAAGCACTATTTCATGCGCGGTATATTCAATATATTTTTTGTATTTAAGACAAGTTTATGTTTGCAATCATGGTAGAAAAAGAAATGGAGAGCTATGCTTTATTAAGAAATTTATGATGCATGTATGGAAATTTAATAGTCAACACGTAAATATGATTATTTTTTAAACTTTATAAAATAAAATTTACAACATGAATTCAGAAAAAAAATTTTGGTTTTTGGAACCAGATAGCACTTGCACATTGGATTACATGTTCAAGTATATCCAAAAAACTTTATCCCAAACTTTATTAAACTGATTTTTAGATAAAGACCCGCGCATACATACACGTACATGTACATTTAAAATCTGGGTGTATACTTAAAAAGGGAATTCGTACACATATGCATTTCCCGCCAAAATATATGCACTTGTATCTTGTGTCTTGTTTTCCATATTCATTCCCGAAAAAGTTTTCGTATCGTTATCATAAATAAATAAAGAAACCATAGCGTTAGGTATATTGTTAATCGCAAGTAAAAGGTTGCAATCTTATAATCAAAGCCAATTAATTGACGTTAAAAAAACTGAAATTGGTTCCAGAAACAGTTCTAGTAAGTAGTCTTCGAATTTCAATAAACCGAATTTTTAATGAATAGTGAGAATGAATGGATGGCGTTTTGTTACAAACATAGAAAATGCATCGGGAAGAAATGAATAAGGAAAATTATAGAGTATACTTTTTTGGTGATGCGAAGCCACTATGCATAAAATTTAAACTTTAAGTTTTTAATAACAATATCTTTTGAACTTTATCTCTTTCGATCAACGAATTGATAAAATTCAGAACTTCTTGATCTTGATAATCCACCACGACCACAAAACAATTGAAGTCAAACATATGGCACAAGAGTGTAGCCTGAAATGTCAAGTGAGGTTAAACATTTCTTGTGAGAGACATAAATATGTAATAAATATAAGCCGAAAAATCCGAAAACTTCAAACCGTAAAAATTTATTTTTCGCGAACAAAAAAAAAGTCCCATTTAATTCGTCACCACCATCACCCTCATTAACAAATTAAATGATAAATGATATCGTATCTACGACCATCGCTAACGCCCCCAACTTAATCTTCTACCATCAACGATTATATTTCTTTAATGCTTAACACTGGTGAAGTTGACAAATTATCAATTCGTTCTGACGTCCTTTCAACAACCACTGAAGTTCTTCCTCATATGATAAATGTCAATTCGCCAACTCGTTTTTCTACAAACAACGTATCGTCAAAATCTGTTTTTATCACCATTTTGCATCGATATCTATATCATATTCGGTAGTTTTAATACTACGTAAAATGCAAGCATTCGACTTCCACCCCCAATCGACGATAGCAAAAGGTTCCTCAGCGGTTGGTCTATTTTCTGGAATAGGATCCTAAGATTTTTTCAATAATAAATAAATTTGCACTATTCGAGGATATTATATGGTGTATTCCTTTTATAGATGTCTAATATCATGACTGCGTTCACCTACTACAATTTCGTACACAATAATTCCAAAGCTATAAATATTTGCAGCGTTAGTGTATGGCTTTCCAATTAGCATCTCTGGACTCATATTTAGAAGTACACCGTAAATTTCTTGATTAGACTTCTTTATATTGGTAAATCCAAATTCAGCAATATATTTCCAAGATGTACAAGCTTTTCTTTGTGAGATATTGATTATTTTGTTTACAAGTCAATTCTTTGGGACTTGTGACTGTATTGTATTATATTGCTGAAATCATAACACTTAAGAGCAACCTGAGTCTATTTTGAAAAATTTGATTGGATCAGAAAATAAAAAACGTAACTTTCGCTTTTAGAAAATGTTAATTTTTTACCTCGTGTATAAACTATGGAGTGATTTGCTTTGAATTGTGCAATGGTTCCAACACACTTTCACTTTTTTTGCCATCGCTCAAATCTCTTTTTCTTCATGATCTTCCTCCTTAATGATTCATCCAACCAGGTTGCTTTATAAATTGTCCCAAAACCTCCTTTTGCAAGAAATTTAACGTTGGTAAATCCTTCAAAAGGAATCCATTAGGATAATAATAACTTAAGTTTCTTGATTCTTTTATTAGATTGTCGATATCTATATCTCCACTAGTCAATTCATCGTTTGTGATAAAAGAAACATGTCCAGCAGATGAGTATTGTTGAACTAAACCACGACAATCGTCACATTTATTTACAATCATGAATATTCAATTGTCGTCGTCGTTATAATTACATATATGAACTTTTTAAAATATATACGTTCGAACTCTATTTAATGAAAGTGCTGGGAAACATGGAAGTATAAATTATAGTATTATTAAAGGCGATAAAGTAGAATGCGATCATAATCAAGTCTAGAAGTCTATTTTATGACCGAATTGTTGATACAAAAAAATTATAAAAATCATTAAAAATTTCTTAAGATATTCGTTAAATCAAATTCTCTTTGTCACCAAAACGAGTTTTGACTGTAAAACTTTCTAGGATACATGATCTTAAATTCATAATTCGTGTAACAATGTATTCTAGATTTTCAAATTTAACGAAAGAAATCAACAAATTATTACTTGACGGAAATAGACTTTTGCAAAGTGCCCAATGGCAAGACACTTTGTGGGATTGTGAGTTCGAGTTTCGCCTTCCGACAAGCTTTTTGATATTTTATTTTATCTCCAGTTTTCAATGTATAATACGACGGAAGTTAGTTTTTTAAATTTAAGTTAGAGCATATCGATATGCTGTACTCTCACCACATGATTTTTCTTCCAGTTAAAAAATTTCAAGAACTATTATAATAATAACAAAGAACCATCAACCGTGTTTATAATTGTTCCTATTATAGAAAAATAAACTTTTGTTATATACTTTCAAAGTGTTATTATGTACTGGGTATAATAAAATTGATCTATGAACAAGTTTTTATTTTAGATAATATCAGAAGTTGAAACTCTGTTTCAATGGGTTAAAATATAGTTTCGGCTTTTGACAGGTTTTTAATAAAGTTTATTAATAAGCTTTAATGTGGTTACAACGGGTGAACTGTAATAATGATAAAAGACGTACATTGTTTCATAGGCACTCCTGAAACGTTATTTTTCATATAAGATTCTATCTACATTCTCCGTGACATGTATGGCGATTCTCTCCTGAAATAAATTTCTAGCAATTCCTTCAAATTGTAGATAGTTTATTCAGAATATAACTCAACGAATCTGAATCATACACCTCACTAATGCAGAATACCCTGCCCCGGATATCTTGATAAATCAACTAAATTTGCTTTTCTGTTGCCTCTGGTTTAATTTTTATTAAGCACATAATTTTTCTCAAAATGGATAAAACAAGATTTAGTGCTTCAAAAATTATGTTGTCAGCTAAATAGCCTCAAGATTAAAATTAAAGACTAAGCTTTTTACGAGGGAATGACTTTGTGACTTTATGCTGCGCTGTGCGGTATGGAGACCCCATCAAAACGTAGCCTATATAAATTATATACGAAATACGAATATGCTATTAAGATTCACTTTTAGTTGACTATTTAATTCATTACAGGAAACGTTTATAACGAATTATCTATGCAAAGGAAATTTTTATTATTTTTTTATGTCATGGCATTGATGAAGTAATCAATAAATAACAAATATCTCATCACATGTACAATAATGTGTTAAAAGCTGTAGATAGTTAGATTATTGACATATGATGATGATAATAAAGAAAGTTGTCTTAGAATTATGTCAACTTTTAACAATCAATTTTTGTGTTAAAAATTAATTTTTAAGCATCGTGTTTATGAGAGGGATGGTATGCTTTAATTCTTAATTCTGGTCAAGATTTTTAATTCTGCCTGAATTAAGAATTTTGGATTATCCGCGATTCACACATGTATCGGAAATTAACAAACTCCCAAATGTACTTACAAGTGAGAATTTTATCCATATTGAAACAAAACATGTACAGTGTTTATAATCTCGCTCCAATTTGGGTGCTCTCATCGCATATAATTCTTTTCTCGAGTATTCTCACGATAAAATTTATAAAATTTGCAGTACTGGGTGTTCTCATAAGAACGGTGAGAACACAAATTTCGAATCATATAAAATGATTTAATAAAGAAAAGGAATTTTTCATATCGTTAAAAATGCAAAGCTCATCGAAACCTCGGAAATTTGATTGGCATGTTGTATATGAGAATGATTTAAAGCAGTATTATCGAATATCTGAATAAGAAGCGATTAATTGATTTGCGTTGAGAAAAAAATTTTATAATAGAATCGCTCTTAAAATTAATACAATATAATTTTCATATATATTTGTTGTGAATTGTAACATATATAAATTTAAATATTTTCTAGATTAAATTTTTAAAAATATTGAAGATAAACCTAAGAATAAACTGTATAAATTCTCGTTAGAATGACTTGTTTTCAATTAAAACAAGCATTTTAAGTTTGCTAAATCAAGATTTATTATAATCTCAAAATTCTTCAAATAATAGCTAGCTAGTTTTCATGATTTTTTATATTTAATAGTTTATATAATTATGACATTTAAAATATTTATATTAATAGTGCCAAAAGCAATACACAAGATATTGTAATTAATTGATATATAAAAGATGTAATTCACTTATTTAATTATGTTGACCTGATAAGTGTTCCGGAAGTCCTGGATTTGCTATTTTTTTTTAGTAATCAGAAGCTGTCTGAATCTTTTTGTCAAATTAATATATAAATTTAATGTAAGAAAAACATAAAAAATTATAATAATATAATAATATATTCTGAATAATTTAAGAATAAATGCAGAAAATTAACAGAAACAATATAATAATAT